AGGCGCGTTTCCATTACCCTTCAAATTGCGCAAATTGAAAATACGCCTAAATGGAAAGGCTTCAATTCGCAAAAACGCCCATATATTGCAAAAAAAGTTTTTACGCTTGCATGAGGTGGTTTTTCAGGCAATGCGAAAAGGGAATAATTCGCAAAACTGCAATGGAAACGTTTTTTCGCATTTACAGGTCACATGGCGTATGTAAAAAGTCATATGATCATTCTTCAATGTACTATAACCTCCAAGAAACACCATATGTGGCTGCTTTCAAGTATAAGGGGCTTTCCCTACAGGTCACTACCATTAATGCTTAGACAATTTACACTGCACACATCTGCGGTGCAGTGTGGCTCTGATACGGTCACTGAAGCTGATTGCGGCCACTCTAGTCAATGCTTGTGTTTATTCTGTAAAGATACACGCATACGCCTCCTTTGAATAAATATAGCCAAAATCCCACCAAAATCCGTTGCCACGACTTATCGCGAGAGGCAAAAGGTTACGTTTTAGTCGCATAACATTTGGAAACGCCGTCATTTCGCAATACTTTTTTATCGACATTTATAAAATGTCGCCAAAGTTTTGCGCAAATCTGTAATGGAAACGCGCCGGCTTGGAAGAAATAGTTAATCTTAAAAAATAAAGCATATACATAAACTCAAATAGGAAATAAAACAGTTATTGAATAAACATGTCCTATTCTGTGTACTAAACTCCTGAAATATTGGTGTCTCATATTTTAGAGCAGTCACTGCAATTTATGAAAGAAGTCAATTAAATCTGTATGAGTGTGTGTGAAAAAATTCAGATGTATCCCCTTTGTAATCGTTAACATTTTCATACGTGACTAATTTAATTACAAATTTTTCTCTCAGTAACTAAATGATTATAGTTACAATTCAAGATCATCTGATTTCTGCATTTTCACAAAGACAACGATCAATGACACAGTTTACACTGCTCAACCAGTCTGTTATTTACATTGAGTTCTCACTGTGTTAGTTATGATGAACGTATGCATGAGACTGCAGAAATTGTGTTGCAATAAGGAGATCATTGTGATATTTGTGTGTCGATATTGAGTTCGGCTACATTGAAGCAACAGGAGTCGTTCTAAATATAATGCTGTAATCAACACTTCTCACAATCAGTTCATCTTTGCAGCTGTTGCAGGAAAACACAGTAAATGTTTTCTAGAGAGCTCCACATGTAATGTTCATTTCATATGCAAAGATGTTAGCCAATCATAGCAGCGGCCGTTTAGATTGGCGTCTCACAGAAAACATGCAATGAAATCAGGGTAGAAAATTACCATTAATATCTAAATGTGACTGTTTTTGATGAAAAAATAAACTAAGATTATAAACACACCTCAGGAAACATGAAATAATTTTACAGATGCATTTCATGAGCCCTTTACTATTGGCAATAACATTAAATTAATTGTTATATTTATGCTGATAACATGAATGTTGCAGGGTGACGTATGAATCCTTGACCCAAGCAATATTTTTTCTATACCTACAGAGCCCGTAGGACAAATGTATATTTATTCTGGCCACAAATTATGAATTCGTTCCATCGTTTTATTAATTAGTTCCATTGTTTTAGTTAAAACACAGCCACAAATTAAGAATTTGTTCCCTCGTTTTATGAATTAGTTCCCACGTTTTAGTTAAATTATGGCCACAAATCAATAGCCTAATTCATTCCCTTGTTTTGATATAATTAAATAAATGTTTTTAATGTATTTTTTCCATGCATGTCAGGTGTAGGGCTAATTTGGTGGCAACTGGTTACTTAACATAGTACATTTTTGTAAAAGACCATCAACTAAGGTCTAACATAATGAAATATTATGAAAACAAGCACTTACTGAGATTGTACTAAAGAATTTCAGCTGAACTGTTCCTGTGACAAAATGTAATTTTACCCATCCTGCTGACAAAGACATCAGCTCTCTTTTCAAGTTTATTTGTAGTATCAACAATGTGTTGCCAAACCAACGGGTTTTCTGCTGAGGGAAAATGAGAGAGAGAGAGAGAGAGAGAGAGAGAGAGAAAGCGTTTTACTAGATTAAAGTATAGTGAGTTCAAGTTAACAGTGTGCCTTAAGAGTAAAGTCTATAAATGTGCGATACAGTGTGTTTTTCACTCATCATCCTGCTAACCTTACAGAAGAAGGGCTATTGGAGATCCCGGAAGGACACAAAAACAAATTCACTCTCACACAGTGTTCAGCTGTTTAATGTCCCACAGTTCCTTTAGTGCTCCAAGAAGAGCACCAGTGTGTGTGTGTGTGTGTGTATACTGAACACTCTTATATACACACAAAGAAGAGGAGAACAGTGCGGCCACACCAAGTTAAACATTACAGGCAGACACAGACAGAAAAACCCAGGTATTGGGAGGTTAGAGCAGAAGATCTTTTACTCTCAGCAGGATTTCCTACAGCACAGAGGGTCACACGCACACATGCCCCCAAGCAACTGATTTTAGTGCTGTTTGCTAAGACAAGTATCGCTAATACTATTACTCATAGTTAAGGTTAAAGATTTGAACAAACACCTAAACCTACAAAAAGCACTTTACTGTGTAATTAGTATTAAGCTTCATAATACTAGTAACTAATTAATTAATAATAATTAAGTAACTTCCAGGCCTGCTGAATGATCAAATCATGCAACTTGTGCTATTAAAGTGACTGGACTTAAGGTTTTGCCCTGGTGGACTATAAAACTGGTAAAAAAAAATCTGATATTTTCATACCTTAACAAATAAACGTTTAAAGATTAAACCATTAAAAGGACCGTACAAAAAAAAAAAACTGAGTGAGATTTTCTGTATGCAAAACAGCACGGAAACACAACTATGACTAATGTAAATAAGGTTCGGCCATAAACACACATGCACAAGTTCCTCTTGCCTGCTCGGCAGCTTCAGGTAACAAAGTAAACAAAGGAAATATTTGACTGAGGCAGAGACAAATCCACAGAAACAAATCCTCACCTCTGACCCTGCCCATAAGATCTGACACCCTCTCCAAAACATCTGAATAAACTCAGCCCTACCAATCCCTGCCAACAGTACTCTAGTATCATATCATACACTCTACAGTAATGTCATCAGGTGGTAATACCATAGCACTTTGATATACCATATTCATGTATCACAAAATTTAGTGCACACTTCAGTTTGCCTGAAAAAAATACCATCATACTGAAATAATACATGCCCAAAAAAAATGATATATGCCCAGAAAAAACATGGTAGTAACATGGTACATGTCTGAAAATATGACACACCAAGACAGGATTCAGTGTGCAGGTTAAAAGCATGCCCAAATGCCAAGGTAGTATTGAGTTACATGTCTAAAAACACTGTATATATCAAAAACCATGGTAGTACCATAATGATACATGTAGCATTGGGTTATAATCTAAAAAACATGGTACATAATAAAAAAAACATGGTAGTATCATGATACATGGCATGCCCTCAAATGTGTTAGTTTTGGGTTTTATGCCTGAAAACATGGTACATATCAAAAAACATAGCAGTACCATGATCCATGCCCCAAAATGTGGTTGTATTGGGTTATACGTCAGAAAAACATGGTACATAATAAAAAAAATGGTAGTATAATGTTATATGTCTGAAAAACATGGTACATAATCAAAAAAACATGGTATTACCATGACACATGCCCACAAATGTGCTAGTTTTGGGTTTTATGCTTGAAAACATGTTACATATCAAAAGCCATATGCAGCACCATGATACATGCCCCAAATGTGGTAGTAGGCTATTGGGTTATAAGTCAAAAAAAAAAAAAAACCTTGCCAATACCATCATGATACATGGCCAAAAACCATGGTAGTTTTGCTTAGCAGCATAGTATACAAAAACATGGTAGCATTAGGGCATATATCTGAAAAACAAAGAACATAGTACCATAGTAGTACCATGGTACATTATACTCTACATAAAACATGGTAGTACAGGATTATATGTTTGAAAAACATGGTACATATAAATAAAATGTTAGTACTATGGGGCATATACATAAAAAAACATGGAATTTGTGCAACAACAACAACAACAAAAAACATGTCCGAACATCGTGGTAAATGCCCAAAAAGCAGAAAAACTAAACTATGGTTGGTTTATTTATGTAATTTAATTTATTTTTATTTATTTATTTTTTTACATTTTGTTTTTGGTTAGTGTGGCAACGGAATGGATGGCAAACTCTGTCTATTGTTATTTGTTTATTTTTCAATAAGCATTTTAAGATCATCCCCATCTCTCTCACCCCCATCCCCCATCTCTCCAGAGGCCCGTGACCCCCTCCATGAGTCAAGTGACCACATCAGCTGTCCAGCACTGTCTACTCTCCTCTATTCACTCCTTACACCACTTCTAATATGACTTATGCTGCCTTTAGTGAGCACTTGTTGGACACTCATCCACACAGACTCCATTTTAGACGCTTTTCAACTTTTAGATCATTTCTCTTTGGATCAACAGCCACAAAAAGTTACTAAATGTTCCTTCTTCTTACTATAATCACAGTCTAACAGCACTGAATCTGAAGAGGAGGTTTGAGTTGAACTCCATTGCGTATATAATGTCATTCCCATACACTTGTGTGAATAAGAGCTCGCCTCCGTCGCGTTTACTGAACAAGAAATAGAAGCAGACACTTACCGCCTTTAGTTGCTCCAGTCGGTCCTTCATCTTTCAATCTATTGGTTAACACTGTCTAAAAATAAAATAAAGAAATAATAAATAGGAGAGAGTCAGAGTCCTCCTGAAGTCCTCGTATTGTTATGGCACCAAAGCTCCATGCAATATGGCTGCTCTTCTCCAAACCAGGAGTTTTTTCCTCTAAATCTATCCGCTCAGAGGATTAAAACAACAGTTGTGTTCAGTCTGCTTAATCTGTCCTCCTCCCTCTCCTTCTCTGTTGTCGTTATAATCTCTCTCTCTCTCTCTCTCTCTCTCTCTCTCTCTCTCTCTCTCTCTCTCTCTCTCTCTCTCTGCGGACACCTAGGTGTGTGCACTCAATCCACATTTATTCCTGAAACTGTTTCAATGTGCCATTTTTTTTATTTTCAAGTAAATGTGCTATTTGCTGATAGCAATACATTACATACTAAAGACCGGTGGTCTGGTCAAGCTTTACTGATTAAATAGATATTCCGATATTGACTATAATCCGTTTCAGTTTTATTGCATGGCCTTTTTGAAAAATCAAATATAAATATATAAAATAATATAAAATCAACCTAGCACGAAAAGGAAGTGATTAGGCTATAAATATATCAAATATCTGTAATTCCCCCACAATAGGGAAATTAAAGATATTTAAAATAAAAATAAATAAATAAAATTGAATTTGAAAAAAGGAGTTGAAATGAATTTTATGATTTTTTTTTCAGTTTAAATGACACTTTATTGGCTATATCTAACTGTTATAATAATAAAAAAACCCATAATTATTAAATGCATATATTAAAATAAATATTTAAACTTAATTTTAATGAAAATATCTGTGATAATGAACTAATTTTAATTAGCCTACATAACATAATTTTCTCACATATTTTGTGCAATGTTGCCAATTCTGTTTTAATACATTTCTTTGTCTGATTCATTTTGATGTTTCATTGAATATTTATTGCATTTCCAGAAAGTTGACAGTGCTTTTCATTGACCATTTACTGTAAATGTAAAATAAATAAATAAATAATAAAATAAATATATATTTTTTTATACCCAATTTGCCCGTAATAGCTAATCATCATTTAAATAACAGAAACTATTGCATTACTAATTAATATTTATGGTAGGTATTCATTATACTAACACTTATTATTTAGTTTCTACTAATTATTCTTGTCTTTAAAAAAAACACAATATAATGTTTTTTTCTCTCACACACTTACGGCGGACGGAGTTAAAGATCAATGAGTATAGGCCACTTCACCACACATGAAGCGCGAGAGCTGGCATTCATTAACCCTCTCTGCTCTGTCAACACTAAGCGGATAAGGAAGCGTCATGGCTGTCTGTGATCACTAAACCCTTCCTTCTGAAGTTTGTGAAGCCGTAGCTCTCACGAGTGAGATAAATGACTATCTTCTGCCCTCCGCTGGTACCATTGTATTATGGCGCAGTACGAAGGAACTGCGCTGAGTCATTATTACGAAAACGTGCAGTCCACTGACTGTTTTATTACACCAGTGTCATCAAAAACGAAACGACAGACTGCTTACATTGTTTGAAGGAGAGCCGCATATTACTTTACAGTAGTAACTGATTATTGGACTATTGTATTTTGACAAGAAACTATGGTCACATTTTGTAAAGTCAGCCAATAGAGATTAAGGCAGCTTTTGATACTATACTACTATTTTTAATAAAAATCATTAACGTAAATATAATGCATAAATATAAAAGTGCTTATAACAGTTTTTATAACCGATACTGAAGTCTTGGCTCTATGCTGAATGTTCATCATGGGATACACAAATTCCACGATAAATAATTTAAATCACTTAAAAATACAAAGTATTTTCCCTTATAATGTGAAAATTTAAATATATTTAAACATGTCTAAATGGATTTCGGCCTGTGGCATCTCCGAGGACTTAACTGTATGCAACCACTTAAATTCAACTTCATAATTTTAACGTTATTATTATGCAAGTATAGAATGTGACAATATTTGCATGTGCCAAATACAAAATAATCAGAACAAACACATATATACTAACCCCCAACATTACAAGTCCATATCTGATATTACTTTAACATTAGTAAATGCCATGCAAAAAAATTTTACAAAAATATTTGTAACAATTTTCCCCCATTTACATGCTGTTGCCTATTGTTTTCTTGTCTACTTGACTGTGATGCTTCATTTAATATGTATTACATTTTCACAATGTTAGGAACCTTTTTATAAAATTGTATACTATTTTTAAAAAGTGACTTTAACCAACTTTCCTATACTTAGTGCCCATTTCATGTTCATGCATTGATTTACATCCTAGTAACTCCTCAAACATATAGAAAAAGTAAAAAGGTTTGACTCCTCAGTATGAACAATGAGATTTTGCCGTGCACTGAACAGTCAGTTTATGTAAGACACCTCACCCATATTTATATAATACCACATTATACATTAAACTAGGTACATGCTGTTCTATTCTCATGGACACCGTGGATTGTTGTTATACTCGACAGCAATTTGCACAACAAAAAAATACCCACAGTATTTAAATATCACAATCAATGACTAGCAACTTCACATTTTAGACCAGAGCAATACTATGCTTCTTTGTCTGAGCAAATGCAAAAGAAACTTCCAGCAAAATGCTTTACATGTAAACAACTAAATGGAAAAAGGGAAATTATCAGTCCTGTTTCACAAGCAGCCCACCACCACAATTTAAAATGTTCACTCCGACAGTTATTTTGCTAAAAAAAAAAGACCAAGCAAGGATTATCATATTGAGAATGTTTTTATTCCAAGTGCTTAGAGCCTTACATAGAGAAGTAAGCACTGGGACACTCGACCTGCTCTCACACCTTTGAGTGAGTGAGTGTCAGTGTAGGCATGTCCGCATGTGTGTGTCTGGTGGAAACCGTTAGCATGTCTACAAAGAAATGAACCACACGATTGACTCAAATTCAAAACACAAAACAAACCAAAAATTGAAAAATAAAAATATTCTGCGCTGGGGTTTTACAGTAAAAGGGGCAGGGGGAGGAACCGTCACCAGGAAATCCCAGTGACATTGCCATAAGGAGGTCAGAGGCTAACAGGTTAAAGGTCGTCATCTTCATCTGGGAGAGCTGTTTCTGATGCCACCTAGAAGAGAAACGACAATTACAGATCAGCACGGATGAAACGGGAACACATTTGGGAGCAGCAGCAGGTACATTCTCCATGATGCACTTACTTTCAAGTCGTGCTCATACTGTGCAGCAAGTGATGGATCCATAGCAATTTCAGGTGGTGCAAGGGCAGGCATCTCAACAAACTCCAGATTAGGGTCACCGATCAGCTTCCGTGCGAGCCACAGGAAGGGCTTCTCAAAGTTATAATTACTCTTGGCAGAGATGTCATAGTACTGAGGAAGAGAGAAGGATATGTCGATTTAGCCTTACATTTACAGTCAATATCAGCCTGACATTCAGTCTCTACTAATGCACTTATTGTCTACAAGCTGAGAACTTGAAGTTGCATTGAATTGGAAGTAGTGATAGATTATTTCCATATTGTACCATACATTCATGTTTTGTGTTTTTGCTATTTTGTATATTATTCTTTTTATTATCCGTGTCGTTCTGTTGCACCGTGGAGCTTCTGTCACTAAAACAAATTCCTCGTATGTGTAAAAACACCTGGCAATAAAGCTAATTCTGAGTCCGTTTAATGGATTATTAAAAATAGGGCGGGGACTGGGTTTTATGAATTGGTTGTTGATTTGATAAAAGTGGAGGCAGATAAACAAAAACGATTTACCGGAAGATCCAGTTATGACAATTAAACATTACGAGCTCAAAGCAGTTTTGAAAATGAAACAAGCATGCGTGAATTATTCACAATAAGCTCTATAACAAGCATTTCGAAAACAGACGGTGCATTTCATGAGTGAGTCGAAGAGGTGCTCCGTACCTGTAGATTCTTCTTACGATGGAACACAATGCTCTTTGCTTTGACCTTCCTGTCCTTGATGTCCACTTTGTTACCGCACAGCACTATGGGAATGTTCTCGCACACACGCACCAAGTCACGATGCCAGTTGGGCACATTTTTATAGGTCACTCGAGAAGTTACATCAAACATGATGATTGCACACTGAGCTGTAATGAGACAGATGCACATGTTAAACCACTGCTGGACAGTAAAGGTGTATAGTGTATATATGATAAAAGCTGCATACCCTGGATATAATATCCATCTCTCAGGCCTCCGAACTTCTCTTGTCCGGCTGTGTCCCATACATTATATTTGATGGCTCCTCTGTTAGTGTGGAAGACCAGGGGATGTACCTCAACTCCAAGCGTGGCTAAGAGGACAGAGAGAAATTTAAAAGCCGCCCATTGCTGTGACTGTCGCACCAAAGCACACATTCCTCCAGAAGAGTTGCGTCGAGATGCCATGTGATGCAAAACTTACCAACATATTTCTTTTCAAACTCCCCAGTCAAGTGTCTCTTCACAAAGGTGGTTTTCCCCGTACCTCCATCTCCTACCAGAACCAGCTGTGGACGAGAAAGACAGTTTGCATGAGTGACCAACATTGTTCCCAAACGACCGGTTTTACAGTAGTTAATGTCACATAAAGCCACAGCAGTAAGGAAATACTACACTGTATCCATTTCAAATAAGAATTTACGGCTTTAATAATTAAATGCTCTTTTGTGAGATTCGTTGTAAAACTACACAGAATACTGGTACTTAAATCCTTAACAAATATTTAAATTAAGGCCATAAGGTAACCCATATAATCCCATCTGTCATTCATGATCAGAATTTGTTTACAAATTTGAAGGGTTGATATTTTATGCAAAGTTGGATAAATTAATTTCCACCGTCTTGATTTCATGTAAACATTATTAAATGGCTGGTGAGAAGTCACAAACACAATTATATTATAACTTGGTTTGTTATAAATGTAATATAATTTCAGAGGTGTGATTATGTGTAACTGGCAGATAACTGGAAAAACTGTGCCAATAGCAGGTTTTCTATGGATATTTCTGTGATAATTACGGTCTTATTTTGCATAATCTCCTTACCAGGCAGTCTTAATCATGCACAGCATAGTTTTTGCTTGTTTTAATTGGATTAGTCTTCTATAAAGAACAGTATTTGTTTAAAAAAAAAAACACGGGTTGAGGCTGTGAATTATCAATACGCTGTTGCATATATCATTTTCATATTACATGTAATTATGTCAGTGGGGACATTCGAGTTAACAGACCCATCTTGAATGAGCACCTGATTCATTATAAAATATTGTTTCAAAAGTATTAAATGGTTGCTTTATGTATTTTGTTTATAATTCCTCTCAGCACCATAATTGCCTTACAGTAAAATCAATAAAATTGTTACTTTGGCAGGCGTAATTTTCAGTCACATTATTAGCAAGAACAAAAACGGCAAGTTTTTTAGAGAGAGAAAGTATGTAATTTGTGACAACGGACTACTTAAATGTGTAAAACACAGTAAATTACACAGCAGAACTGAAATTACACGAAAAAAATTCTCCTATATTATCAGTCTCTTATCTTAGCGTTGATTATCGCGTACAAATCTGCTAATTCACTTCCAAACCGTTTAGCAATTCATAGCGCCAACATGTAAACAGACTCTTTAACTCGTTACTCCAGCCTGTCGTCACTTTAAAGGTTTAGTTTGGTTACCTTGAACTGAACTTGTGGCTCGTTCTCTGCCATTGCTGTGTTGGTCTTTGTGCTGCAGTCACTCTGCGGGAGAGATGGCGGGACACAGTTAGTCACAGCTCACACAGGCCGCACCAGTCACAAAATACACCCACAATTACACAAAACTCCACAACAACACGACTTTCTCACTCATATTAAAAGTCAAACAGCATATGAAACTCAAAACAAACGACTGTGTTCACCAACGAACAACTCCCGCGTCTAAATAAAAGGATGCGCGCCAACACACGAGGCCGCTGCTTCTGGAGCCGCTTATAAAGGCCTCAAACAGGCCTCAAATCAATACATGACGCATTTAAGAGTGCGAAAATGAAGGAAACCGAGTGAAATTCTCAAAGAGACGAACAAAGCGAGCGTTGTTCCCCCAGCATCGCGCGCTGCGACAGAGACGAGCCGTGAGCAAACACTCATAACTCCACATCAGCTGCGAATAAAAGCGCTCCGAGCGACTTAAGACAACTTCAGTAATTAACAAGGGCTTTCGGGCGTGTTTTGTGTTCGGCGGAAAACAGGGCGTCTTTGTGAAAGGCGCTCGCGTCGCGCGGAGCGGCGGCGTCCCGTACTCACCGGTGCTGAAGCGATCGAGGAAGAGAGCAAATGGCTGCGTCCGCGCGGGATTCAGCATGGCTCACATAAACGCTTCCGCCCAACCACGTGACGCAGCGGCGCCGCGCGACGATCGCGCCCTCTGGTGTCACAGCGCGCGATCAACTCCAATGCTCACTGCCTTTACATATTATGCATACTACAGGTGCATCTCAATAAATTAGAATGTCATGGAAAAGTTCATTTATTTCTGTAATTCAACTCAAATTGTGAAACTCGTGTATTAAATAAATTCAATGCACACAGACTGAAGTAGTTTAAGTCTTTGGTTCTTTTAATTGTGATGATTTTGGCTTTGAATTACTGAAATAAATGAACTTTTCCATGACATTCTAATTTATTGAGATGCACCTGTATGTAGGCTACATGTGGATTGCGTAATCAGAATCCAAAAATTAAGTACTCATATTTTTAAAATAGGCCTACTCGTAATCAGACTACTGTTAGCCTACTTTTTTATTGATTACATGATTACATATTATTTACACAACTGAAATAATTTATTCATAATTTATCCCAAATTCCTCTTTTTCATCTTTATGCACCAAGAGCTTGTAACACTCCAAAGAGAAAGGAACAATTGAAATCACATCATATGACCCCTTTAAGTTTTCCTTTCTAAAATAGCCTACTGCTCATATACACTCACAAAGTCTTCCAGTTTAGTGGACATTCACACAGAGATCAGTCATTAGTGGCTACATTGCATTTGACCACTGGATTTACAAAAAATCATTACAGGTTTAAGAAGTGTTTCAACATTGCATCAACTGCTGATGAACACATTCATTTTTAGTTGAATTATCACTCAGTCGGTTATTTTGCCATGTATTACTTTATTGATCAAACACATTAAAATGCACAAATTCACCAACTTTTTTGGCATCTGATCCTCTTTCACCTAGTATACAGTATTTTTATTTGAAGTCCCCGAGATTTTAAAATAAATATTTTAATAATGAAGTATCACATTTGCATGTTCATGGTTCTCTGACATTGATTATGGTCACATGCATGCAGGTAAACAAATAAAATATGAAGTTTTGATTTTGATTCATTTTAGAATTATTTATTTTAATTGAACATTTTTAGGAATTAATTAATTATTAGATTTTCATTGAACTCATAAACCCCCTGCAGTTTCTTCACAAACCCAGTTTGGGAAACCTTGATGTAATGTAGCCTAATGTTTAATACACTTTGCTGATTGATTTAATACACCTCAATCACTGGGTAAACAAATATATGACACTCGCACATAATAAATATTTAATTTCTGCAATGCACTATTGTTTTGGGAACAAACAGGAACTGTGAGACAAAAGATACAAGTAGGCTACATATGGTGGACTGTAGCCTGAGAATTGGAATAAGTTCTAGAAATAGAATAAAATATGAAATACATAAGGTGCTCTTATGTATAATACATTATATTATGGAATATACAATGCGAGTTATCATTACAGTTAATTATTATCATTATGTTAAGACAAGAAATACACCATAATTTGTTAATTGTTTTATTTATATCATTAAGTCACTTTATCAGAGAATAAACAAATATGCTAATTCTAATATTCACATACAACTGTGCATAATATGTGCTCTGGGAATAACCTATTATGTTTGAATGCACTGCTTTAAATAACAGATTTCTGTGTTCAAATTATTATATTCGACTACATGAAATAATATATAATTAACAATTTCATATAATATATACATAAAATGTTAAAAATATTATTGGATGTACAATACATATTTCACATTTACACAATAATGTAGGCCTAAGTAAACATAGCCAATAATAATATTTGTAATCTAAACAGTTAAATTATCAACATTTATTAACATCACATTAAAGAAGTAAACCATATTTTATTTTGTCATTAAATCACTTTATCAGATAAGAAATAAATATGTGAATTCGCTGTGAACATTTCATATATAATTGTGCGTAATATGTGCCCCGGAGTATAACCTACTATGTTTGAATGCTTTATGTAATACAGATATATAAACATTCATTGCACATTACATTGTGTGTTGCGCTTGCTTTGTGCGTTTAGACAGCAAATATATTAACTCTTTTTATGGTTCTATACAAAGTGCCATTTTCACTATATGATTCAGGCAGCTTCTGAAATGATGTTTTCGATTGATTTGCTGTTGTTTTTTGCTGTTATCAGGATGTTGTCTGAGCTTTCATGGTTCATCTGTACAGGTAATCTGTCTGAATGTTAGCAGCAATCTCAGCCTCCCATCGATCTCCATTATTCAACAGTTTCTCCTTATTATACAGCAGCTCTTCATGAGTCTCAGTGGCATATTCAAAATTAGGGCCCTGGCACAGAGAGAGGGGGAAATGATTACATTATCAGTGGAACCAGTGTATAACTTCAGCTGTTTTGGACTAAATGTCTTCTCTGTGATGTGTTACATCAGCTATATCTACTCAATCTATGTGTAGTACAACTATTTGTATCTTATGTCTCAGTGTAATGCATGTGTGTACCTCTACGATTGCATCCACAGGACAGGCCTCCTGGCAGAATCCACAGTAGATGCATTTGGTCATGTCAATGTCATAACGGGTTGTTCTTCTGCTGCCATCTGCACGGGTCACTGCTTCTATAGTGATGGCCTGCAGGAGACAAAAGAACTGCTGACACACATCCTGCAGAGCTAATCACTGAACTAACTAAAACTGAAACCATAAAAAACGTTTGTTACTTGAGATCAAATAGACTTTAACTGAAATAAAATAAAATATGAAACTAAAGAGTTAAAATAAATCATTTTTATTTCAGCTACAGTAGTTGCCAAGAATACACGTATTATTTTCATTTAGTTTGAACTGATGTATTAAAATAACTAAAACTGAAATAAATATTATATAGACATAAAAAAAAAAACAAGAATTCAAAACAACAAAATGTAAAAAGTTGAAGATAAAAACTATAATAGTATCTCATTGATAATAAAATAACACCGTTTTATATATATATATATATATATATATATATATATATATATATCTGAGCAGGACTTGTTATTTTTTGTTTGTATTATTATTATCTTACTATCATTAGTTTAATAATTATTATTATTAATGGCTAAACCTGCAACAGATACATAATATAATAATAATGATAATAATAGAAAAACAATATTTATTATTATTATTATTAATACCTAAACATGCAAAAGACACAGAACATAACATAATAATAATAATAAAATTAATAATATAATTACAGAATAAAATAAGAATAAGTATGATCACAGAATAATAATAATAATTATTATTAGTATTATTAATAATACCTAAACATGCAAAAGACACAGAACATAACATAATAATAATAATAAAATTAATAATATAATTACAGAATAAAATAAGAATAAGTATGATCACAGAATAATAATAATAATTATTATTAGTATTATTAATAATACCTAAACATGCAAAAGACACAGAACATAACATAATAATAATAATAAAATTAATAATATAATTACATAATAAAATAAGAATAAGTATGATTACAGAATAATAATAATTATTATTATTATCATTATATTCTGTCTCTGTATGGCAGGTTTTGACATGAATAATAATACTTATTATTTTTATAATGAGGATAATAATAACAACAACAACAACAACAATTTATTATGATCATTATTATGTATTCGAACAACACAAATTTATATATTGCAAAGCCTCAGCATGTTGGTCCAAATGCAAAAAAAAAGTACCATAAATACAGGCAGAAAAAGATGTAAACAAGCAGACACCTCTGAACAGTTCGGTCCACAGCAGTGTTTGTGCTGCACGGTCTGTGATGGACTTCATGTCCATAGGCAACTCCTCAGCATTCACATTTTCTATAGAGAGTCAGAGAGAAGGACATTGTAGGACATTGTGTAGGGTGTGAGAATGCAGGTCTATGTGTGTATGATCTTACTGTAGCCTCCCCTGTGGACGGTAAAGCTGAAGGGATGGACAGGTCCAAGTCTAGCTGCGAAAGTGCCTTAATGAAATAAAACAATTTTGCTTCAGTACGAGCAATAACTACAACATCAGATATTCTCAGACTGCTGCATCACATCTAAACATAAACTCACCTGTGCGGCATGAGAAATACAGTATGCGCAATGTCACCTCCATCCTAATCAGCTAAAGACAGACAAATATTTATGTTCATGATTAATATAGTTTTATGTCAGTGGTGCAAATATACCTCTTAACAGTCGGGCTTCATGCCAAATGAAGAGATCTGTGCCATAAACCTGCTGCTGCTAATCTCCTTTCCCAATCTGTCAGACCTTATGAAACAACTTGTGTCATACAAGTAAATGAATGTTTTACAAATGCCTTCTGTAAACATAACACTGTTTTGAGGTAGACTAATAATTGTCTGTGTGGTTTATTCTATTTATTTAATATGATAAAATTGTCTTTATGCAAAGATGTCGACTAAAGCAAGTAGTTATATATTTGTAAATTTTTTTAGTTATTGTTTTTATTTATTCATTTACCAGTCCTTACGCTTTTAAACCCCCAAAAGTATTAAAGTAACCCTAACCCAAGTCACACATTGTCCCGCTGTCCGTGGCCGTCTCGTTAAGTAACGTTAAACTGCATTAAAAACAATGCAACATTCCGTTGATTAACTATTCAGGTTAGTCGAAGGAATACATATTCACAGTAATGAACTCACCAGGATGCTTCGGTCGGTCGGTGAGTGATTACAGGATCTTTCCAGCACTTGCGCTTTTAAGAGAGCCCATTGGTCACGTGGTGTCCCTCAACCTGCTGCGTGGCACTTTTTATCCCGCAACTAAATGGCATTAGTGAAATATTGTTTATTTTACTTTATTATTCCATATTTTATTTTATTTTGAGAGGCGGTATTAAGCCACTGGTGTGCCGCTATGTTTAGTGGCACATCCGGTGTTGTTAAAAAAAAAAGAGAAAGAAAGAAAGAAAGAAATGTATTTATAAGCTTTTATAAGTTTTATTAATCGTTTTTGTTTTTTTAAATGCAGTCAGTTTGTGGTAAACGTGTTTTTGAGCATCATGTGCCACTGAATGTATATCAGGGTCGGATATTAACGGGGGGTTGTATCAAAAATTCCACCAAAAGGAATAAAATACCCTCAAATTTAAGATAATGGGGCTATATTTGCCCAGCAAAATTACATTAAATCTATTACGGCGTTCGCAATAAATTGTGAGAATGAACGAAGAGTGCCAATTTGCGAAATTACGATGGTCCCATAAATTGGTCACATTACATAGGCCTAATGATAATAAAAAGTTATAATATAAGTAAACAATAATATATTATAGGCTACATTTTAATAAATAAAACAGCTGGAAAAAATATATGACACAATATGTTGTAAAATAAATGTAGCCTATTTTGAATATGTTATCATAATTTGTTATGATAGGCTACCATTCAATCCCTAAATATTTGACACACAAAACATCATTCATCATTAGACTTTGTTTTAATGTCTGTTTTAATCTCCTGGTCTCTTGTTTCATGCATTTTTGTTTTAGGCCTAATGCACATCTTATGTGTTTGCATTTTTTTAAGTGTAGCTACAAAAGATCCTCTGCTAAAACGCGAATAAAAACATTTGAACAGAAATTCTGTTTGAGCTCTTATGATATAGAGGAATTCAGAAAGTGCCGCGGGAATATCCCTTACAAAAAAGAAGTTTATTCAAGTGTGCTATTAGTATACTTCTTTTAAACTAAAAATAGGAAAGTATACTTTTAATCTACTTTTTATGTACTTCTCAGAAATGGGCTTTATGTACTTCTCAGAAATATAATTAAAATGACATTTAAGTATAGGCCTGAACTTTACTTAAGTATACTTACTAAAATAAACTTGAAGTATACTACTTTTTGGTAAGGGATATAAAGCGCGAGACTCAGCTGCTCACTTCGCGGCGAGTAAAGAGTGTGTTATCAACAGTGTTTACCGTGAGTTTAGTTGTTGATAGCATTTTATCGTGCTGATTATGGGACAGCGACTGTCTCGTGGAGAGAAAGCGGAGGGACAACACTGACACCCACCGACCACACGGAGCTCCATCCTCTCCTGAAGAGACGCCTGTGGCTATCGGTGAGGAGGAGAGGAGACAAGACCAAGAAGAAGAGACAGAAAAGAGCAGGTTTCGGAGGTTTGCTTCTTTCTTCTGTTGTTTCTCTCCCCACAAACCCACCAAAGCTCAGAGTGGGTATGCTTTTTTTTTTTTTTAACATGCATTCTTAATGTTAATCATGCAAAACAGAGAAAACAGCGGCTTTATAAATAATGGCCTTATGGATAATGCAGGAATCTCTCAGTTTAGAAAGCAGGTGTGAAGTTGAAGGAAATAATCAGAAATTTCTCTCATTTTTCTGCACAGAATGCTGCCGTTTTATTCCCGGTTGCCTAAAGAGTGACCCGGAGCAGAGGGTTCATCTGGAGGAGATGCTCTCCCATGACTGGTTCAAAGTAAGTCTAACACAAGCTAAAATTATTTGTTTGTTTTTGTCTTTTTGTTGATTTGATGTGATCAGAATCCCTGCTGCAACTGTTATATAGTCAATCCATATACACTGCACATGATGTATTTTTGTACACGTTTGTGTAATTTGTATAATTTCTAATTGTGTTTCAGGTCCTGTAGGTCGTGGTGAAGAGGGTCAGTCTTGCGTCTGGAGGACTGAGACAGGTGACCCCTTCATCTCTCCAGCTTTAGCGTCTTGCGGGGCTGGCAGGCCTTGGTTGTGTCTGGTGCTTTGGCTTGAGGCGATAGTTTTAGCATCTTGCAGAACTACTTGCCTAGGGATATGTACATATTGTAAATAGTAAGATTAGTTTTAGTTAGTTAAGTTAGTTCTCCATCTCTCCAGCCTTAGCATTGTAGCATTTGGACCAATCAGACACACAACTATTTGTTATATTTAACAAATGATATCTAACACCCCCTCCCCTAAACAAAGGGCCAATTACGAGGGTCTATGGACCCTTTCCCTGAAATGCATCTAACACCTCCGAAAGGCAGAACAGGCCTCTGGTTCCATGGCAACCAATGCTGATATCACTGGTTTTATTGCCCAAAGGAATGCAGGCAGAGAAACTCAGACTCATTTTCCTCTTAGGAAAGACACACAATGCCCATAAAAATGGACTCTTCTCTAATTAATTCATAGAAAAACCTTTCTGTGTAAGATGTGAGCTAGAACGCTCCTAAGGACACCCTAAGTTCGCGCCAGGCTTCGGCCTTGACTTTCCATTTACCGAGATCCTCTGACTCAAACTGGTAGGAATTATAACTAGTTATGATTAATTATGCATATTCCCCCTTTGAGCTGATTCGCTACAGCGTCTTGCGGAACTACTCGCCAATAGGGATGTGAGTTGTAAATAGTTTAGTTGTAATTAGTTAAGTTTGTTAAGTACTGCACCATCCAATCATATTATTAATAATGGAGTCACCCAGAGTGTCCCAGAGCTCTCTGTCAAGCCCGCTCCACAAGTTCCTCTCACTGCCGCCCCAGAGGTTCCTGTCACGGCGTCCGGATCCAGATCCTGTCAGGGCCGCTTCAGAAATCAGTGTGAACGCTGCTGCTCCAGAACCTGCTGAGGTCAGAGTCGGAGGCACCACAGAGGTCACTCCACAGGGTACCTTTGCAGAGCCACTTGTTCCAGAGCTTCTTGTCCCGGTCTGAAGGTTCCTGCTGCTGTTGCAACCCCAGAAGAGGTTTCTGACATGATTGACCGAGTCACACTTGACACCCGTCCTTGTCCACTACAAAGGTTCCTCTCATGATGGTAAAGAACAGCAAAGTAGTTCCAGTCAAGGCCGTCCCAGTGTTTGCGGTCGTAGCTTCAGCCAGAGCTGGTGTTCAAGGCTGCTTCAGTCCCAGAGCTCCTCTCTCAACCTCCCTGCTCCCAGAGGTTCCTGCTAAAGCTGCTCTGGTCCAAGAGGATTCTGTCACAGCTGCATCAGAGGATCCTCCCACTGCCCCAGTGTTTCCTCCCACTGCTGTGATTCCTCCCTAAACACATTACACCTGTGGGCCACATTAAAAAAGACTGTGATTTTAGAATACACAAAAATGTGTTGCTTTAATATGAAAATGTGACAATCTGGAAATATTAACCATTATTTCAGTTCTAAAGAGGTTAAGCCTCTCGTTTTAGCAGTTTATATTTATCACCTTTAATGTTGTTCTGAATAAAAAAACTCACCAGGTAAGTAAGAACAGGTAAGTAACAACTTTTACTTTTTATTTTACTTACAACATAATTTTAATGTACAATTGAATATTGTTTTTAAAATAACTAGCTGTCCGCCTATAAAGATGCAGTCACATTTACTACCAGTCAGCAAATTTTCATGGACAAAATTTCAAATGAGGAAGCATTTGAAGTTTTGTATGAAACCCTTCCTTTTTGATCTGCATGGTGTAGCTCAGGTATTTCTAAAATAATATTGTGATATGAGCCATATGGAATATAATTTAAAACACAGCCAATGACAAATTCTCAGAGAGTTTCCCACTTCATCCTCCTTCACTCTAGTCTTGCAGAGTGACAAATAAAGTACAAATATTCAATGTAGTCTCTCGATTAATGTGACGCTACCTGATGTATGTCATCACCACAGGGCACTATAGTGAAACTGCACTTTCAGTTCCTTACAACGGTTAACGCAAGAAATCACTGGGCTATTTGATTTTCATAGTAAAGGAGGCCCAGGCCCTTTCTTCCTACCATCAGTTATTCAAACGCACACACACACATGCACAACCACACACTAGCTGACTTTACAGCGGAAGTCTTTGTCTTGGTTGTCTTCCCTCCCATCAGAGGACAACGGCACCTTTGACTTTGGCAGAAGAGTGAAGGTAGCTTTTGCTTTATTGACTTTTATCGCACAATTGACTCTGTTTTTCAGTTGTTCTACTGTATTAATGATGACTCCGTGCTTAATGTGCATTAATAAATACAGTTCAGTTCCAAATCAATGCATGCTACAGGTTAAACATCAGTACATAATACAGTGCCATGTATATTGTGTCATGCAACTGAATTTACTTTTAAAATGGCACTTGTTTGGTAACAGAAATGAGACTGACATAGAAATCCATTCGTTATCAAACATGGCATCATGTTTCTGGATGCATTTCTCTCTCATACACACATAGATGTCTGTTAAACCAGACGATAGCAAGGATGAGGAGGGGAATCATGGGCCGGAGGTCACAGTTGTGGAGACGAACCGCTTTGGCTTCATTCTAGGGAATGGAGAAACTGACAGGTCAGTGTTGATGTCTGTTCATCACGGCTCAGAGTTTGGGTGGAACCTGATTTAAGTGTGTGTGACTGTATTTGTATGCTGTAAGCCCTAGTTGAGCATAGTGTGTGTGATTAAATATATAATCTGTGGTCAAATCATTTTTGTAAGGCGCTTCTAATCCTGTATTACCAGTATTGATAATTCATAACTCATGATTATAAATCACCGTTACCTTCCGCACCTCTTACTCTCATTTTCTCCTTCTCAACATCCTGTCATGTTGCCATGGTGATTTCTAGCCTGTCAGAGTGTGGTTTCCTGTTTTCTGTGTGTTTGCCTCTTGTGACACTCATGCTTTGCTCTGGTATGGGGGACGCGCTTTAGTGAGAGTGAGTGAGTGAGTGAGGAAGCAGGGTAAAGGTGTGTTATTTGTGATGGTGACAGTGAAGTATGCTGCTGGACTGTGTGAGTGTAGTGT